AATCATTAAATAAAATGAAAGAAAGAACTATGAAACCTCATTAATTTGCATGCCACTAATTTAAAATTGTAATAACCCATTGCTTAATAAGCAAATTAATAATGTTGTTCTTAGGTGCCATCGAGTTGATTCCAAGTCATAGCAACCCTATAAGCCAGAGTAGAACTGCCCCATAGCACTTCCTAGGCTGTAATCTTTATGGGAGCAGATTGCCAGGTCTTTTCTCCTGCAGAGCTGCTGGTGGGTTTGAGCTGCCAACCTTTTGGTTAGTAGCTGAGCACTTAACTATTATGCCACCAGGGCTCCTTTTAAGCAAATTAATAATATAAATACCATTACTGTGAGCATATTTAAACTCTTTAACCAAAGAAGCTGCTTTTAAAACCTGTTGAAATATCTATACTAATAATAATGACTAACATTTTTGAACATTTATCATGTTCCTGGAACTCTACATTGACTCATTGAATTTTCACAGCAACTCTAAGACAGGTATTATAATCTCCATTTTTGAAACAAGGAAATTGAAGCTCAGAGAGGTTAAGAAACTTGCTTAAGATCACATAGCTCCTGAGTGGAAGAGACAAAGATTCATGTCCAGGTGTCTGATGCTAAAGCCCATGCACATAACCTTTGTGTTCTGCTTACCAAAAAAAAAAAACCAAACCAGTTGCCGTAGAGTCGATTCCAACTCGTAGCAACCCTATAGAACAGAGTAGAACTGCCCCATAGAGTTTCCAAGGAGCACCTGGTGGGTTTGAACTGCCGACGTTTTGGTTAGCAGCCGAGCTCTTAACCACTACACCACCAGGGTTTCCGTGTTCTGCTTAGGCTTCTACAAACCACTCAACTATGCATGACAGTAAGGCCTGAAATGTTTCTCTACTAGCTTGCCCTTCATTAATATAGCTTCAGTTGAATATAATAAAATGGAATGTCTTTCAAACATTTCATAATTCAGGCTTCGCTAATATAGATAAATTCCCTGCCGCCGCCCCCCCCCCCCCCCACAAACACGCTAGTTGGAATTAGTGACATTTTACTGTATGGTTTATTGACTGTCCTTATGGAGTCCCTGGTGGTGCAGATGGTTAACATGCTCAGCTGCTAACTGAAAGACGGTTCGTGTCTACCCAGAGGTACCTTGGAAGAAAAGTTTGGTGATCTACTTCCCAAAAACCAACCATTGAAAACCCTTCTACTCTGACACACACGGGGTTGCCATGAGTTGGAATCAACTTGATGGCAACTGGTTAACTATAGAGAAAATAAAAGCAGAGAAAAGAATCAGTTAAGGGGAGTGATGGAGACAGATACCAGATTGCTCATGAGTAGAGCAGTGAGTGGGAAGTGAGGATGTGGAGTCAGCCAGTGTAGACAACTATTTCAAGAAGCACAAATGAAAAGGGAATGAGATGTCCTTCAACAGATGAATGGATAAACAAATTGTGTTTCATCCGCACAATGGAATACTACTTAGCAATGAAAAGGAACAAACTATTGATGAACAAAACAACATGGATGAATCTCAGAGGCATTATGCCGAGTGAAAGAAGCCAGTCTCAAAGGGTTGCATACTATAGGCTTCCATTTATATGCCATTCTCAAAAAGCAAAGCTATAGGGATGGAGCACAGATCAGTGGTTGCCTGGGGCTGAGGGTGGGGGAGGGCTTGACTACAAAGGGGTAGCACATGGGAATCTGGGGGCCGACATAATGGTTTTGTATCCCTGAGTGTGGTAGTGGTTACATAATGTATACATGTGTTGAAACTCATAGAACTCTACACTCCCACCCTGAAAAAAGTCAATTTTACTGTCAAGTAATTTGGGAATGAGAGATTAGGCAATATCTGAAGGGCAAAGTTAGGATTGAAGGCAGGAGATATATTGAAGTTGGGAAGGATGTAAGTTTATTCATTTGATACGGGGGAGAGTCGGGTCTCTTGGGGACGGTGTCCAAGAGGAATTCAAAGGTGTGAGGTCCTGGGTACTAGCGGGAGGAAAAAGATGTTTGTGCAAAGAAGCCAAAGCTGAGACCCGGTAAAATCTGTGTTCCCTGTGAACTAGTAGGCTCGGCCACCCTCCTGTAGAGTGAAGGGAATGGATGTGGGGAGCGAGGCTTTGAGCCACTGTGAGGAATGGTGTCTTAGTTACCTGGTGCTGCTTTAACAGAAATACTACAGTGGGTGGCTTTAACAAACAGAAATTTATTTTCTCACAGTTTAGGAGGCTAGAAGTCTGGATTCAGGGTGCTGGCTCTAGGAGAAGACTCTCTTTCTCTCTCCCTGTTGGCTCTGGGGGAAGGTCCTTGTCTCTTTTCGGCTTCTGTTCCTTGGCTCCTTGGTGATCTTCATGTGGCATGGCTTCTATCTTCCCCTATCTCTGCTTGTTTAATCTATTCCTTTTATATCTCAAAAGAGATTGAAGATAACCTACGCTAATACAAACATTAATGTAACAAAGAAAACCCATTCCCAAATGGGGTTATAACAACAGGTGTAGGGGTTAGGATTTACAACACATATTTTGGGGGGACACAGTTCAATCCATAACAAATGGGAAGGCTCGCTTCACAGTATGAGGGCCCAGGGGAGGGGAGAGACCATAAAACTTTAGTGGCAGCGATCTGCCCTTTTGGAAATTTGTCTTCAGCAGCCTGAAACAGAAAAGGGGTTTGTGGCAAATGAGGATCAGCTGAAGGACAAGAGGTAAGGATTTTGCAAGTAGGAGCACAAAAAATCTGCATGAATGAGAAAGGGGACTATGAACCAGCAGGGAACTGGTGACCTGGGAGAAAAGGAGAGGGAAGGTGTATAGGGGTTTAATGATATGAGCCATTGTGAATAATGAGAATAAGGAGGTGAGGGAGCTGGATGGATGAAGACACTGATCAGAGCAGTTCTGAAGATAAGATTTCAGAAGTGAACACATAGGACTAATAAGTAAGTGATTTGATCTATATTTGGAATACTTTCTACATAATGTTGTTGTGTCGATTCCGACCCATAGCCACCCTATAGGACAGAGTAGAACTGCCCCATAGGGTTTCCTAGACTGAAATCTTTACAGGAGCAGGTCGCCAGGTCTTTCTCCTGCAGAGCCACTGGGTGGGTTCAAAGCCGCCAACCTTTTGGTTAGCAGCTGAGTGCTTAACTGTTGCGCTAAGAGGGCTTCTTTCTACATAATAGTAATGGCAATATTAGTTTATATTTATTGATCCTTACTACGTGCCAGACACTGCTTAGTGCTTTACATGCAGCAGCTTATTTAATTCTCACAACGGTCGTATGAAGCAGGTACTACTCCCATTTTCTAAGTAAGGAAACCGAGGCTCAAGAGTGTTAGGTAACTTGCCCAGGGCTACATGGCCAGTAAATGAAGAGGCCAGGACTGGAACCCGACTTGTCTGACTCCAGAGTTTATGCTCGTCTTACTGTTATACTAGACTGCCCTTCTCACGTGGAAAATCTTGGTTCCATAACAACAGAATGCTACACTAGCCCCAAATACACATTTCAGAAACAAACCAAAGTTCGTGCATAGCTCAATGTAAACTCATCACCATTTCTGAAAACCAGCTATGAACAGATGTCCTCCCATAGCAGGTGAATATTGCCAATTTTGTATGTAGACAGAATATTCAAAAGTCATTTCATCTGATCATAACATTGTTTTTCGAAAGGACAAAAAAAAAGTTCATTTCACAGATGGAACATTTTGGTGATGACAGTATTCAGAAAGGATAGTTCTGGAGTGGTGATAACGTCCATGGGGTAACTGAAGGAGTGGGTGGCCAAAGTGATGTAAAGGTGAGGATCACTGAGGTTGGAGTCCAGAAACTGGGTATGGGATGGGTTGACTTTAGAGATACTGAAGTTACCTGAGATGATGGTGAGGCTGGGAGAGGGTGTCACATTCTTCAGTGAATATGGCAGAGTGGCCAGGAGATCCGTGGATGATAACAGTGGCAAGGAGTGTGGTTCAGTGACATGAGCACTAGATGAGAGTTTTCGGCATGCAAGTGAAGGGGCCTGGGAATGCCCCCATCACTCCAGTCCTCACCCTGTAGCCTCCCCGACTTGAGAGCTTCATAGGGAAGGGAGGTCTCCAGTGAGCCTGGGATCAGTTAAGACAAGGAAGTAGGTTGTTGTTGTTAGCTGCCGTCAAGTTGGCCCCTGACTCATGGTGACCCCTGCCTGGTCATGATGGGTTGTGGATCGGGACCATTATGATCCATAGGGTTTTCATTGGCTGATTTTCAGAAGTAGATCCCCAGGCTTTTCTTCCTAGTCTACCTTAGTCTGAAAGCTCCTCTGAAACCTGTTCAGCATCATAGCAACACGCAAGCCTCCACTGACAGACAGGTGGTAGCTGTGCGTGAGGTGCATTGGCCGGGAATCAAACCCTGCTCTCCCTCATGGAAGGCAAGAATTCTACCACTGAACCAACAGTGCTTCATAAGCAGGAGGGCTCTAAAAAAAGGTGGAGGGCATAACCCAAACCCACTGCCATCAAGTCGATTCCAACTCATAGTGACCCCTTAGGGTTTCCAAGGCTGTAAATCTCTATGGAAGCAGACGTCATATCCTTTTCCTGCAGAGCTGCTGGTGGTTTCAGACTGTCTACCTTTCAGTTAGCAGTCGATCACTTTAACCACTGCACCATTAAGGCTCCTTGTGAAGAGCATGGAGTGTGTTTATCGTGTCCAGAAGGCATAGGTTGGGAAGCAATATAGTATGAAATTGAGTTTATCCTAAATGGCTGCTTCCATCCAAGCAAAATAAACTACAAATATGTGAATGGGGGGGTCATGACTTTACTGCATGTTAATATTCTAAGCCCATGGAACTAGAAGAACCCTGAGGCAGCCATTCTTTGCTATCATCTTGGCTAGGAGCATAGCACCCGGAGTCTAGACTTCAGACCCTGGCTACTATGACTAGAATATTTATGTCCTGGTGACTAAATTGCCTCATCCCACCTTCTATTTCCTGCCAGGCTCATAGCCCCTATCTTCCCCATTGTGGAGGAGTAGATGTCCATTTCTCAGGAGCGGTGGACTGCTTCCGGCAGATTATAAAGACCCAAGGGATGCTGGGGCTCTGGAATGGATTGACAGCCAACTTACTGAAGGTGAGAGGGGTGGCCAGTCTCTACTGCATCCTTGCCTCTTCCAGTTCCACCCTCTTCTTTTGTCATTGCCCCCCACAGTTTGCATGGAAATGCCCCCTCTGGCACTGATTAGTAGCAGTAAGCCCATGAGAACAGCCTGGCCAGCAGCCCTGGAGAGAGGGGACCTTGTACACTGTTGAGATGTCTCATACCCCATCCCAGAGGAACTGAGAATTTAGTGTAGAGGCTCCTAACATAGGGATTCACAGACCCCTATGGAGAGCCTAAGCCCCCCATCCTCAAGTTGTATACAAAATGTGTGTGTATGACTAATTGTCCACAGCTACCAAGGCCTCCACCGGACTGAGTCCAGTACAGCTAGATGGTGCCCGGCTACCACCACTGACTGCTCTGACCAGGATCACAACAGAGGGTTCTGGACAGAGCTGGAGAAGGATGTAGAACATAATTCTAACTCACAAAAAAAGACCAGATTTACTGGCCTAAAGGACACTGGAGAAACCCCGCGAGTATGGCCCCCAGACACCCTTTTAGCTCAGTGGTGAAGTTATCTCCGAGGTTCACCGTTCAGCCTGGGAGTGAACAGCCCCGTAAAACCAAATGAGACTAACAAGGTACAGGAGTCCAGTGACAAGGGCCAGAAGGCAGAAGGGGACAAGGAAGCTGGTGATAGGGAACCCAAGGTGGAGTAAGGATATTGTTGATGTGTTGTGAGATTGTTAACCATTGTCATAGGGCAACATTTGTAGTAACTGTTAAATGAGAAACTATTTTGTTCTGTAAGCCTTCATCTTAAGTGAGAATAACTACACAATTGGAAGAGCGTAGTCAATGTCACTGAACTGTGCATGTAGAAATTTTTGAAATGGTGTATCTTTGCCTATGTGTATTTTCACCAAAGCAAAAGGTTGAGAAGTTAGAGGGTTGATATGTTGTGGGGTTGTTAACCAATGTCATAAAATAACATGTGTACTACTGTTTCATGAGAAACTTTGTTCTGTAAGCCTTCACCTGAAGTACAATAAAAAAAAAAATGTGTGTGTATGTGCATATGTGCATCTCTCTGGGGAGAGGGTCCATAACTTTCACCATATTCCCAAAGAACTCCATGACCAATAAAAAGGTTAAGAACTCATATACTAGTTGTCACGTAAATGATTCTGATCCAGGGACAGAGTACCCAATAAGCAAGGTACACACAGGCTGAAGTGTGTTTACTTACTACTCTGTAGTGCATTGTGCACTACAGATTAGTAAATACACTTCAGCCCGTGTGTAGCTTGCTCACTGGTTAATCCGCCCCTCTTCCGGTCCAGACAAGTATATGTTGACAGGCAGTGTGAATGGTCTACACGCATATTAACCCAGACCCAGTGCTTCCCCAGGGCAGGCCTTTCAGTCGCCTTCATTCCTCCCACCCACACAGTGCCAGCTTTCACTTGACTGTCTCCCCTGATTCCACCAAGAATTACTATGTCGTACTGTCCACAGAGTACACCTCAGTTTGCCCTGATCCAAGTTGTCTGCAGACGCACTGATGTTTTCTCTTTAAGAATTATGTTAGTACTTCAACTGGATTTTTTTTAAAGAATTTATTTTATTTTGTTGTTATTGAGAATATACACAGCAGAACATACACCAATTCAACCATTTCTACACGTACAATTCAGTGACGTTGGTTACATTCTTCAAGTTGCGCAACCCTTCTCACCCACCTTTTCTGAATTGTTCCTCCCCCATTAACATAAACTCACTGCCCCCTAAGCTTCCTATCTAACCTTTCGAGTTGCTGTTGTCACTTTGATCCCATAGAGATATCTTCAACTGGATTTTAACTTCTTTTTTTGTTTAACAGATAGTTCCATATTTTGGAGTTATGTTCAGCACCTTTGAGTTCTGCAAGAGAATCTGTCTTTATCAAAATGGTTACATTGTGTCTCCTCTGAGCTATAAACTGACCCCCGGGGTGGATCAGAGTCTACAGCCTCAGGAATTACGGGAATTAAAGAAGTTCTTCAAAACTGGAACACTAAAGTCTAAAAAACCGACTCTGTAAAACTGCGTGGACCGACCTGGAAGTGCACTGACTAAAGGTGTGTTGCAGGCGTAGATGAGTGTAACCTTATGATTGTGCCCGCACAGAGTGATGAGAGGGTCCTGCTGTCTGCTGCTCTTGGAAATGAGAAGGCTCAGCCTGACGCCACCGCTGAGCTCCAAACCGACGTCCCTGCAAACACCTGCCCCGTGGGAAGGTTTCCCAGCACCACTGTTTCATGGTGACACTCTCTCCGATCTTATAACCAAGACGCCAAAGAAAGGGCATTGCTGAAAGCAACATGGTGGTTGAAGTGGTGGTAGCCGTGGAGATCCCACCTCGTGAGCTCAGCTAAATAGTCACAGTTGATGCGAAGCTTGCATGAACCAACGTTGGAAGGTTTCACTCAGTTTGGCCCAAGGGTTCACGATACAATTGTTTTTGAATACAATTGTTCTGGCTGCCTTTTGAGCGCATCTACCACAGTGTAAATTATGCCTTATCAGATATGAAATGAAAACTTTTAACATTTAAAAAAGTTATCAGTATTGTAGTAGAACCATCCTATTGTATTTAAATTCGAAACATCCCAGGCTTAGAATCTTGTATTTCAGGAAGGCAAATTTGACCAGGATGGCTTAATTATGCCCCAAAAGACCATCTTCCAATTGAAGTCAGGTACAGTTCAAGCAAGGAGCCCTGGTGGCGCAACAGTGGCCCTCGGCTGCTAACCTAAAGGTCAGCGGTTTGAACCCACCAGCCTCTCTGTGGGAAAAAAAGACCTGGTGATCTGCTCCCATAAAGACTACAGCCTAGGAAACCCTGTGGGGCACTTCTACTCTGTCACATTGGGTCGCTATGAGTCGGAATCAACTCGATAGCACATAGCAAACAGTTCAAGCAGCCTGAATTCTCTGCATTTTTGACTTGCATTGCAAGGCTACCCTGAAAAATTATTTAGATAAGTTATTCTTACAAGATGTCCCAGTTGCCTAGAAAGGATCAAATGGCACATTTGACACATATACCCGCCCCCCAAAAAATGTAACTGAATAAAAGCATTTCAGGCTAATCATCTGATACTAGATTTTTTTACAGTTTTGCCCAATGGTTACGTCTTACATTAAAAAAAAAATTGCCATCAAGTCTATTCCAACTCATGGCAACCCCATGTGTGTCAGAGTAGAACTGTGCTCCATAGGGTATTAGATTTTTTTAAATATAAAATTTCAGGATTGTTCCACCTTGCAGATATAACTGTACCTTTTGAATAGTGCCTTTCTATGGATTTGAAATTAATATCTAATATCAAGTTGTCAATCATATATATGGGGGGGGGTGTTTCAGTATTTTGAAAGTATTTTTTCCTATTAAATTTATTTTCCATAGAAAAGTAATGTGTTGGTCATTTATTTCTAATCAGAGTTATAAAAACTATGCTTAAATACATACTGGCCAAAGTCTCTAAACTCTCAGAAGCTTGTCCTCTTTAAATGTACCAGAATAACTCATTTTTCCAACTGCTGTGGTAGACTGTGTTTTACAGGGAATGGAAGTAAATACACTCATGAAAATCTCATCTCTAGCCCAATCTGTTAGAGTTCCAAACCTGTTGCCAGTTGAGTTGATTCCAACTCATAGCGACCCTGTAGGACAGAGTAGAACTGCCCCATAGTTTCCAAGGCTCTCATCTTTACAGAAGCAGACTGCCACATCTTTCTCCTACGGAGCAGCTGGTGGGTTCAAACTTCCGACCTTTTGATTAGCAGCCAAATGCTTTAACCATTGTGCCACCAGGGCCTTTTGTTAGAGTTCAGAGGGTGGCAAGTTCTTTACCCACAGTGAAGAGTTAATGTGTGTTACTCTATTTGCCTCAAAATGCACAACTTTTCAGAAGGTTCTGAAAGCTGCAAAAAAAAAATTATTTTTTCTAAATCTAAAAGCCTGACCAGGTTTTTTATAGCATATTAATATCTTCTATATATTCATCTACAGGTATGATGAGATAGATGGCTAAGCCCTTCCTGATGTTATATATTGGAATGTTTTCTGAGCTACAGTTTTTATTTTTTCAATAAATTTATTGGGAAAAAGGATATGCCTCATTTTCCTAATTTCAAAACAGCTCTTTAAAACTGTAGTTCTGTTCCTAAAATGCAGTTCCAGCTCTTTTCATGTGATTGGAGCTATGAAGGGAGTGTTCTGCTTTACAGCTAACAGCAGGCACCACACTGGACTACATACTTTAGGAGAATTATAAAGAAGTGTGATACAGTACTTACCCAGGAGTCATTTACAGTCTTAAGGAACACAACATACCTACGTGTGTGAAACAACTGTGATTACAAAGCAAAGACATGATGATATAGTATCAACCTGTTACCAGATTGCCAAGGGGCTCAATATATACTTACTGAAGAGATGAGTAAAGGGATCATCACAGGTGAGGGGACTAGTAATGAGCAGGGGTTTGTGGAGGTAATGAGTCTTGAGCTAAGTTTTGAAGGAAGTGACCAAAACAAAAACCAAACCCATTGCCGTCAGGTCGATTCCGACTGATAAAGACCCTATAGAACGAGTAGAACTGCCCCATAGGGTTTCCAAGGAGTGGCTGGTGGATTCGAACTGCTCACATTTTGGATAACAGCTGTAGCTCACCATAGCTCTTAACCACTGCACCACCAAGGCTCTGAAGGAAGTGAGGGGGCATTAATTGGTTAAGACTAGGTTGCAAGGCATTCCAGGTTGAAACAGGGTATATACAGTGTCACAGAAATGGAAGCAAACAAAAGGCGTTCGGGATAGAGTAAAAAGACTGGCTTCATGTTCGCTCAACAACTGCTAGGCACTATAGATAAAGTGGTACATAAGGCGGATAAAAGGAGCCCTGGCAGCGCAGTGGTTAAGTGCTCGGCTGCTAACGGAAAGGTCAGTGGTGTGAACCCACCAGGCACTCCCCAAGAGAAAGATGTGGCAGTCTGCTTTCATGAAGATTACAGCTTTGGAAACCCTATGGGGCAGTTCTACTCTGTCCTATAGGGTTCCTGGACTACCAGCTGAAAGGTTGATGGTTCAAACCCACCCAGAGGCACCTCGGAGGTAAGGCCCAGTGATCTGCTTCTAAAAGGTCACAGTCTTGAAAACCCTATGGATCAGTTCTGCTCTGCACACATGGGGTTGCCGTGAGTCAGAATTGACCCAATGGCAACTAACAATAACAAGGCAGATAAGGTCCTTGCCCTCATGGAGCTTACAGTCTACTGAGGGCAGCACTCAATAAACTAATCAGTAAGTTAGGTAATTATAAACTGTAATATTATGAGGGGAATAAACAGGGTGCTTTGTTAGAGAATTAGATGGGGATGAGGGAGATATTTTAAATCAGCGAGCCAAGGAAGGCCTCCTTGGGAAGTGACATTTGAGATGAGACCTGAAGTATGAGAATGCGCCAACCATACAGAGAACTAGGGAGAAGAGCATTCCAAGCAGAGGGAATAGCAAGTGCAGAAGTCTGAAAATGGGACAGGGCTTCATGAACAGAAAGAAGGTAAATGTAGCCAGAGTGGGATGAGTGAGGGAGAGAGTGGTATAAGATGAGACTGGACAGAGAGCCAGATCATACACAGCCATATGGGCCGAAGTAAGAAGTTAAGATTTTATTCTGGCACCTGATGATGCAATGGCTAAGTGCTCGGCTGCTAACCGAAAGGTCGGCGGTTCGAATCCACCCATCAGGCTACATGAGAGAAAGACCTGGCAATCTACTCCTGTAAAGATTACAGCATTGAAAATCTTATGGGGCAGTTCTACTGTGTCACATTGAGTCACTATGAGCCGGAATCAGCCTGAAGTCACACAACAACAATATGCATAACAAAACATTTGCCAATTCAACAATTTTTATATGTACAATTCAGTGACATTGATTACAAACTTCATGTTGTGCAACCATTGTTACTATCCTTATTCCACCACCATTTACATAAAAGCAAAACCAGAAAGCTCAGTGCCCCCTAAACAGTAAATTCCCCCTGCTCCTTCTCTCCCACCCCGGTAACCACTAATAAGCTTTGATTTCTATGTATTTGTCTATTTCATATAAGTGAGGTCATAAAGTATTTGTCCTTTTGTGACTGACTTATTTCACTCAGCATAATGTTTTCAAGGCTATCTATGTTGTGGCATGCATCAGGACTTCATTTCTGAGATTTTATTCTAAATGCAAAGTAAAGTCATTGAAGGTTTTTAAGCAGAGAAGTGATATAACCTGATTGTCATTTTTAAAAAAGCACTGTGGTTGCTGGGTGGATAATGGATAGGAGAGAAGTAACACAGTAATGGAGACTGTTACAGAAGACCAAGCAACAAATAATGGTTGCTTGGACTAGAATTGGTATCAATAAAGACGGAGATAAATGAATGAGTTCAAGACATTTGGGAGTTAGACTCAGCGGTATTTGCTGAGGGAATGAATGTAGGGAGTAGAAGAAAGGAAGGAATCAAGGATAGAAGCTAGGTTTTTTGGCTTTTGACTTGGATAACGAGGTAGATGGTGTTGCCATTTACTGATGTGGGGAAGACTATGGAGAGCCAGAGTTTTGGTGGGGACATGCTAAATTTGAAATGCCTGTGAGATATCCAGGTAGAGAAGTCAAGTTGTCAGTTGGCTGGAACATAGGTTCTTCATGTCCAAACCAGTTGTGGTAGGCAGAATAATGGCCCCCCAAAGACATCCATGTCCTAATCCCCTGAACCTGTGAATATTTTACCTTACATGGCAAAGGGACTTTGCAGAGATGATTAAATTAAAGACCTCGGGATGAGGAGATTATCCTGAATTATCTGAGTGGGCTCAATCCAATTACACGAGTCCTTAAGAGTGAAAGAGGGAGGCCAGCACCATAATTTATGTCAGGATAAGAGGCATAAACCAGGACTGTCCTGAGCCAACCAAGACAAATCTGGAGTTCAGGGGAGAGTGGTGACCGGAGATAGAAATTTCAGTGTCATAAGCAGACAGATGGCACCAAGGGACTGAATTGGACCACCAAAGTAGTGAGCGAATGGGAAGAAACTCTTGAGAGGGGGAAGCAACAAGAAATGACATCGAGGAAGTGGTGGTTAAAGAAAGGCCTCCAGATATGGAGGAA